AAAAATAAACCGTTAACCATTTTGCGTTACAGCCTTCTAGAAACTAGAACTTGGAATTTCTAAATTCTAACCAGCACCAAAGAAGATGCAGTTAAACTAGAACAAAACCGTTGGATAACCATTTCTGCAGTCTGTTCATGGGTTTTTTGTTTTCTTATTTTCATGTCTGGCCTGGGGGATGAGAGGCTGGAAAAGAGAGAGTCACACTTGTCACTTGGGTGTCCCCCACCTAGGACCTTAGTGGTACTGGCATCTTGGGCTGGACTACTCTTTATCATAAGGGGCTGTCTTGCTCACTGTAGGATGTTCAGCACCATCCCTGGCTTCCACCCACTAGATGCCAGCACATGCCTCTCCCTTCCAGTCCCCACGACAAAAACATCCCCAGACACGACCAGATTGTCCCATGGGGAGTAACACTTCCCTCAGATGAGAACCACTGGCTTAATCCCATCCCAGTGGCTTCACAGTTCCATCACACTATTTCTTCTGCCTGGGTTATGCTCCCTTACTCTCTCTCTGCTGGATTCCTACCCAGCTCTCCAGGCGTGCCCTTATTGGCCCTAGAACGCCACTCCTGTGGCTGGATCATCGTCCCACCAAGTCCCCACCACACTCGGCGGCCTTCGCTGCCACCCTGCCCCTTCCCCAACCCCGTCACTGCCACCACCGTTCATACACCAAACTCTCCCAGAAAGCTGAGAGGTAGTACCCGGCCCCTGTCCGTGGCTGAGGGAAACGAAGCACACAGAAGAACAGGGGTTCGAGTGGTGCAGCCAGGACCCAACTCCAGCGCGGACCGTCCTAACCCGGGGCCTTCATGTTCCGACGACACGAGGCCTGATGGTTGTTTTCAGAAAGTTGGCTTCTTGCCCCTGCCTAGACACCCGTGCTCTGCTCCTAAGCGTCACCGTGCACTCACAACACTGGCTGGAGAGCTGCTTTAAAAATGACCCCAACACGGGCCACCATTTGGCCGCCTGGAACCCGCCACACTGGGGCCCCATCTGCCGCCCACAAGGCTGTGACCACGACCGGCTCCGGTTCCCTGTAACCGACACCTTCTCTCCTTCCAGTGGTGGCAGGTCGAGAAGGTGAACCCCATCAAGCTCTATGAAGAGAACAAAGTCATCGCAGGATTTTCCCTTTTAAACCTGCTCTTCAAACAGGGCCGTGCGGGCCTCATTCGAGGAGTAGTGGACAAACTCACTGAGCTCTACAACCAGAAGAAGATCAAGCCCGTGGTCGACTCCCTTTGGGCCCTGGAGGAGGTAAGAGTGGTGGGTTTTGTTTCCCCCCAGCAATTAATCTGTTTTTAGTCCAGGGAGATTTGGGCGGCCGGGATAAAAATAATCTTTCATGCAAAGGTTATTCTCCAGGTTTGTTCATTTCAAATGACAGTCCTAAAAGTCATTGTCCTACCGTATCACGCTTTAGATGTAAGAAACCCTTTGAATTCCATAGTGGTTCTCAACCCATGTGCCTCAGCCTACTATTTGTACCATGAATCCCTCTCAGGCCATCAAGTTTTAATGGGTGTGGACAATCCACCGGGGTTCTAAGAAGGTATGGATATGGCTGCAACATCATTTACATTATCACCTTGTGGGCATAGGACATCCAGGTTGGGGCAGACCATGGCTCAGAGCTGAAATGTTTTGTGTGCTAAACCCAGATGCTTGGAGACCCTGGGGGACGAGATGCTGTTGGCTGTCACACTGGGCATTGTAATTATTCATGAATCGTCGGATCTGGTATTGGGCCGTTTTCGTTAACCGATCTGCCAAAAGTTCTAGTGTGTGAAAGCGTTCCTTAATCATGAAACAAAACAAAACAAAACAAAACAAAACAAAACAAGAATCCCTAATGTAACCTTCACTGCAGCAGGTAGAATGTGCTAGGTGGAGGCTGGGTCTAGGAAATTCTCCAGGATCGGGGAAGTTTTGGACATTTGGGAAGCCAGTCGTGGTAGCTATCTGTGGGGAGAAAATAAAGAAGTAAAGCCTAGATTTCAAGGGGCATCTCACTGAGAAATCTTCCTAGGTCAGGCTGTTGGCTGTGGGAAGCTGTGGAGCCCCTGAGAAAGATCTTAAAATATGTGGGAATGTGTTTTGTGTTTGTGTGGCTTTTGCATTTTGCATGGGTGAGTGCCTTACAGTACAAGAACTTTTTTGTACTTTTGGGAATCACAGACATCCTTGAAAAAAGCTAACAAACATAATGGTCTATGGAACAGAGGGTAGGTATTGTCCTGGAAATAAAGCTGGTGCTATTTGCCTAATGAACTAGGTTGGCCAAAATCCAATGGCTTCCCTGAGCACAGAAATTGCCTCCCAAAAAACTTTGTGAGGCTCCATGTGTAATCAAATAGGACTGGTTCTGGATGCTGTATATGCTTCTCTGATCTTGCAGAATCATGAATGGTCTTTAAAAAAACCCAACAACCGGGGCCCTTGGGTGGCTCAGTCGGTTAAGCGTCCGACTTCAGCTCAGGTCATGATCTCACGGTTTGTGGGTTCGAGCCCTGTGTCGGGCTCTGTGCTGACAGCTCAGGGCCTGGACCCTGGTTCGGATTCTGTGTCTTCCTCTCTCTCTGCTCCTCCCCCACTCATGCTCTGTCTCTCTCTCTCTCAAAAATACATGAACATTAAAAAAATTAAAAAAAAAAAAAACAAACACCAATCACCAAAACCCTTGTGTCTTATGGTGAAAGAAATATATGCTTATTGTAGGAAACTCATAAATTAAGAACAAAAGTGTAAGGAGAAAATGAACATCAAGTCCACACTCCAGAGACTGGCTAACACTATCACATTTTGGTTTGCTTCCTTCCAGTCTTTTTTCTTTTGCAGATGGTCACTGTGATTCAGCTGCTTCTTAAATCAGATAATCAGGCATTCCTTCCGCTGTGTCATTTCCAAGATGGCTAGCTTACTGTTATACTCTTCTTGAAAACGTTTTAATTTACCGAGTCAGACATCCGTACGGTATTGGCTGTGGTATCTCAGTGGTGTAGACGGGCTGGACTACACGGGTACCGGTTCTCAGTGGTCAAGGACAGAGAGAAAACTGGAGGTAGTCAAGGTCAGGGCTAAGAGATGATTCGTGAGACCGAGCCCCACATCGGGCTCCACGCTGACAGCACAGAGCTTCCTTGGGATTCTCTCTCTCTCTCTCTGCCCTCCTCCCATTCACCCTCTCTCCCACACGCTCTTTATCTCAAAATAAAAAAATAAACAACAACAAAAAAGAAACGATCTTGTTCATCTGTTGACTTGTTGAGGCTCTGCCTCCCTTCCACAAGGAAGTAAACCCCAGATGAGGAAGGACCCCAACTGTGCCATTCAGGACCCCAGTGCCTGGCCTGGAGTCAATACTCAATAAACACACATTACGTGAGTGGATTGATGAGTCTGGCAATATACAGAAATATGACTAACTGGGTATTTTCTATGTTCAACAGTAAATATTTGTTGAATGAATAAATGAATGAGTGAACAAGACGTAACTAAAACAACGTATTATTACTTTAAGACAACTTGGGCTCAATTGACATTTTGGCTGAATCATCCTTTGCTGGGGGTGGGGTTGTCCTGGGCATCGTAGGAAGTTTAGCGGCATCTCTGGTCAGACACCAGCTGTGGCAATAAAAAATATCTCTAGACACCGTCCAATGTCCCCTGAATGGGATAGGGAACAGGGGCGAAACTGGAACTAGGTGAGAAACACTGCTTTAAAAGAAGTCATATTGGTTGAGATAGTTACGAGGAAAACAAAGGAATTATAGGTTCCTCTCGAAAGCTAGTCACCCACAAAGGGAAGACAGACAGCTGCTGCCTGTTTGCCAACAAAAACGTCCACAGCCACTCATCAGTCACACCCACCGACTTTCCGAGGGTTCTTTTTCGACGATATTTGCAGACATCTGTTTAGAGCTGCATTTGGGCAAAACCCAGCTATTTCTCAAGCCCATGCAGCTGTCCTGGGCCAGAGGAGAATAGAGCATGCTTATTACTTGCCAACCGCAGAAGGATGACCATAATGATGTTTCCCCTCCCCTTCGGTAAATGATTTCACAAAATTGCTTTTCAGGCTAGCTGTGTAACTTCATCGATGGAACAGAAAGCCCATAGGGATTAAAAGAAAATTTTCTTGGGCTCTCCGAGCCCTCAGACTAGAAGATTTAATAATTTCAGAAACGATTTAGGGTTTCTTTCTAGCCATCTATCTTTGACTTTATTATAGATTTAATACACGGAGCAGAGAGAGATGTTCCGGCATCAGATTTGCCTCCAGATATTAAACGTGCAGCGGGACATTAAGTTGGAAAAAAGCTCCTCTTTCCAAACAGTTCAGAGGTGGGAAAAGGATGAAAGATATATATATGTATCTGTCAACCAAGAGTAGTGACATTACTGAGACCTACTGTGTGCTAGTACTCTTTCATGATGTCGAGTCTACAAAAGAGACAGACGTCTCGTTCCCCGACCCTTAAGTTCATGATTTAGTTTCTGAGACAACACTGAGGTGTTTAGTCGTGGGGTCCTGCTTTCAAGTGCAACCTGGATTCAAGAGCTAGAGAGAATAATGTTAAGTGAGAACGAATGCTCAGAGGTGGTTCCGAGAACGAGGTGGGGCTTGGTTGAAGCTGGAGGGATACGAATTCTTTCCCTGATGTTGGGGTTAAAAAAAAAAAACAAGGGATTACGAGCATGAGGGACAGTGACAAAATCTCAGAAGCAGGGGTGAGTATGGGGTCGGTGGGGTTGAGAGTCTGAGCTAAACACGGCAGAGGTGGCTGACTAAGGAGGGGAGGAGATAAGGCTGGTTCGGTCAATGGAATCAAATCCCTGAGGCGGTCACTGCCAAGCAGAGAGGAGCAGTTGACGTTCTCGGTGAGGCAACTCCTCTTAGAGAGCGTGGCCCAAGGAACATGGTACCATCTGACCCTTTCAATTCCCAGAAGCCCTTCCTGGTCCCAGTATGACACTAATAACTAATAACACCTGGACTATGTCGCTGTCGCCTCTGGTTAAAAATGTCTTCTCCTGAGGAGCCTGGGCGGCTCAGTTGGTTGAGCATCTGACTCTCGATTTCAGCTCAGGGCGTGATCCCAGGGTTGTGGGTTTGAGCGCTGAGTGTGGAGCCTGCTTGGGATTCCCTCCCTCCCTTCCTCGCCCTCTCTCTCCCTCTCCCTCTCTCTCTGTCTCTCTCCCCTCTACTCTCCCCCGCCCCTGCTCATGGGTTTGCCCTTCCTCTCTCTAAAATAAAAAAAAGTAACAAAATAAAATGTCTTTTCCCACCTGCCATCTAATAGCACAGGGAGAACTGTTACGAGCTGAATTATGCATCCACTCAAATTCATGTGTGGAAGCCCTAATCCTCAGTGCTTCAGATGGGATTGTATTTAGAAGCAGGGCCTTTATTTATTTTTTATTTTTTTTAATGTCTATTTTTGAGAGAGAGAGAGACAAAGGGAGAGAGAGACATGGTGTGAGCAGGGGAAGGGCGGAGAGACAGAGAGGGAGACACGGAATCTGAAGCGGGCCCCAGGCCCTGAGCTGTCGGCACAGAGCCTGACGCGGGGTTCGAACTCACGAAATGTGAGATCATGACCTGAGCCGAAGTTGGACGCTTAACCAACGGAGCCACCCAGGTGCCCCAGAAATAGGGCCTTTAAAGAATCAGGTTAAAATGGGGCCTTGGGGTGGGCCCTAATCCAGTCTGACTGGTGTCTTCTAAGGGGAGGAGATTAG